GGGCTTTAAACAACATACTGTAAGAGCTCTGATGAGATGAGTATCACTGAATTCACTGATCATTTACACTGAATCTTCTTTGAAGTGGTAATCATGACTGACAAGAAGGTGGGACTCTCAATAAAAGTGATCTCTAAGCTGGGACTTGAAGATTGAATTTACCAGTGAAAAAGGTGAAAGGAGTAGCCAGCAAGCTAGAGCATAAGCAGCTAGCATGAGCAATGGCTCAGCAGTGTGTAAGTGGATGACCTGTCCAGGGACCAGCAAGTAGTGTAGAGATGCGGCCAGAATGACAGGTCAGAGCCAGGGTTTGGCCATCATGGCAGCACTGGAGACCATTGTGATCAAATCTATGTTTTACAAAAATAACTCAGCTATATCCTAGATTATTAAATACATAAAAGAGAGACTGCAAGCAGGGAGCCTGTTATGAAACTGTCATGGCAGCCTGAAGTGGGACAGTGGCAGTGAGAATGGAGATGTATGGACAGAATTGAGAAGGACTTGGAGGGGGAATGTAAAGCACATAGTGTCCAAATAGATATTGGAGCAGGGGAAGGATGCAGGGATGACTCTGTATTTTAGTACAAAATTTAAAAAAAAAAAAAAAGGCAGGAAGAGAAGCAAGTTTGGGGAGAAAGATAATGAGTTCAGTGTTATAAATATTAAGTTTGGTTAACTGCAGGAAGACTATCAAGTGGGGGAGTTTAAAGTGTAATTCTGGAGTACAGGACAGATCCATTCAGGATTGTCAGAAGGGAAAGTAAAGAAAAAGGGAGGAAGTAGCACTTAAAAAACAATCCGTGTGTGTGTGTGTGTGTGTGTGTGTGTGTGTGTGTAGCCCAGCTGGTTCTATGAACCACTGACTTTCTTCACAGAATTAGAAAAAAACTACTTTAAATTTTGTATGGAACCAAAAAAGAGCCCATATAGCCAAGACAATCCTAAGCAAAAATATATACATAAATAAATAAAAACCGAAAGCTAGAGGCCTCACGGTACCTGACTTCAAACTGTACTATAAGGCTGCAGTAACCGAAACAGCATGGTACTGGTAACAAAATAGACATATAGACCAATGGAACAGAACAGAGACCTCAGAAATAATGCCACACATCTGCAATCATCTGATCTTTGACAAACTTGACAAAAACAAGCAATGGGGAAAGGATTCCCTATTTAATAAATGCTGTTGGGAAAACTGGCTAGCCATACGCAGAAAACTGAAACTGGATCCTATCCTTAAACTTTATACAAAAATTAACTCAAAATGGATTAAAGACTTCAATGTAAAACCTAAAACCATAAAAAACCTAGAAGAAAACCTAGACAATACCATTCAGGACATAGGCATGGGCAAAGACTTCATGACTAAAACACCAAAAGCAATAGCAACAAAAGCTAAAATTGACAAATGAGATCTAATTAAATTAAAGAGCTTCTGCACAGCAAATGAAACTATCATCAGAGTGAACAGGCAACTTACAGAATGGGAGAAAAATTTTGCAAGCTATCCAGCTGACAAAGGGCTAATATCCAGAATCTACTAGAAACCTAAACAAATTTACAAGAAACAACCCCATCACAAAGTGGGCAAAGGATATGAACAGACACTTCTAAAATGAAGACATTTACGTGGCCAACAAACATAAAACAAAACAAAACAAAACAAAACAAAACTCATCATCACTGGTCTTTAGAGAAATGCAAATCAAAGCCACAATGAGATACCACCTCATGCCAGTTAGAATGGCAATTATTAACAAGTCAGGAAACAACAGATGCTGGAGAAGATGTGGAGAAATAGGAACACTTTTACACTATTACTAGGTGCTCTTTCTCCATTCGTTCGTCTATAGTTGTGGATCAAGATCTCTAGCCCTGCCTTTTCCCACTCTCAAACACTTCTGAGCTAATCCCACCTGGCAAACAACTAGTGAACTATTTCTAGGATTGATGTGGTCAGTAGGAAACACAAGCTATGCCTAGAGCAACACAGAAAGGCCAAACATCAAGATTTATTTACCCTTGCTGTTTGCAAACCTGATGGTTTTAGTCAGGCTCTAGTATTACAGACTGAAATATAAGAAAATCCTGCACATGCTCAGAGAAGCTGTTGGCTTTGCCACAGTTCTACGCCTAAACATTATAATAATATTATTATCATCACACAGGGGTGTCATAAGGATTAATGAGACATTTTCAAATCACTTTGAGCTGCTCTGCTGGGGGTGCTAAATAAATGGTATGTTTTCCTTTTAAAATGCCATTTTTTGGCATTGATTTGTTGTGATGGGTTTGGCTATCCAACAGGGCTAGAATGAGCCCACCAACTCATTTCCTGTAGACAGCAGACTAGACTTCAGAAGAAGTGGTTTTCAGTTAAGATAAATACGAATTGAAGTGAACTAGTCAGCAATCAGAAGCAAATAGGCTGCTGTTAGAAATCTAGTATATTAAGTACTCACAGTGATCAACATAAGAATTGCACAGTGCGATACAGTAGAGCAAACACTGGATTTGGAAATGGTCCAAGATTTTCGGTCCAGCTCTGCTGTTAACTAGCCATGTGAGCTTGAACAAATTGCTAAGCTTCTCTGGGCCTCAAATATAAAGTAAGGGCTTTATATATGTCCTAAGAAGCTCATAACCAAAGTCTTCCAGACAAGGCAAATACATGAAAGGAATGGAAATAGTCATTTCTGAAGGAAAGAGATTTCACAGCTGGGAGAAGCTTGTGACCATTCATCACAGGACTATCCTCTGCTCTGGTCTTCTTTGCCATTGATTAATATTAATTTCAGTACTAATTCCTGCAAAAGAAGGAATAAATCACTTTCTAAGTCAGACACAGAAGTATATGAAACATCTGGTCTTTAAAAATAGGGTCTCTGCCTTTCCATGAGCTATCATTGCAGCAAGCAGTCTGTCTCATTCCAAGATTTAAATATATGAATGATTGATTATACTGCTACTCTAATCATCAGCTCAAAAAATGCAAAATAATGAGGTGTGCAAAATAATGAGGTGGCTGTCATACTCCAGTGTTCTGGAGTTTTGTAAGAAAAAGAGTTTTACGTGGTTGCCTAGTTTTGCCATCTCAGAACATAAGTGACTGTCTGCATTGCCTGGCACTGATCAGGAGGTGAAACAGAAGATGAAGGGAAGTGAAAGTACATAGGTGCCTGTTGTGCCCAGGAGAGCCAGAAGCGGAAGTCCTACGGAATAAATAAGCAGTGTTTCCTATGGTGAACTCTGTTTCTCCTCACTCCTGGTCTTAGGAATCCCAATAGGATCCTGGGCTCAAAAAGAAGAAATGTTGACACTCCAGAGCAGATAGCAGTGCAAAGAGCCACTCCTCGGGGAATTCAATTCAACAAATATGTACTGATCCCCACTATGTACAAGGCACTTTGGTAGATGCTAGCAGTATAAATTGGCTAGGACCTACTACTCTGAGCCCGAGAGAACGCTACGGTTGGGAGTGGTGGTGGCAAGTATTGACCACAAATCACTTACTTCAAATTGAATTGTCAGCGAGCTTTTGGGTGGGTGAGGAGCTGTCTAGACAACAGTTCCTCTTCTGTAAATGATTTGAATGGTACAATAAAAAATAAAAATAAAAATAAAGGATTCTTTAAAGCCTAGGGTTAGCTTATATTAGATTGTTAAAATTTCTGGAAACAATTGTGTTCAAAGTAACCATAACAATTTGGAAAAATACGTTTAAAGAAGACACACGTAAATTATCCCTGGGCCCAGATCAAGCAAGAGGTACACGTTGCAGAATGAACGTCCTCCCAGTTTAACAACCAGAGCCTGACAAATTCCCTACCGCAAGGGCAGTGCTGAAATATTAAGTAAAAAGTCTAGGCCCAGGTCCTGCTCTCATCCCTTCCACGACACACCTGAGTCATAAAGTCGGACTTTCTAACCACACAACTTGGACTATGTGAATTTCCTTTCCCATTTCATCTCATTTCCCAAGTCTATGTAGTGTATAAAGGCCAGGCTGTCACTGCTAATCCCAATCCGAAACTTGGTCCTTGATGCTTCCCAGTGGCCGAAATCGCCGCTGCGAACAGTGGTGTGAACTATTCACTAAAGCGGCAGAGCCCGAAGGCCTTGAACGATCCGTTTCCTTCGGACTCAGTCTGCGAAGCCCATCAGCACCCTTTACTCCGCTCGGCTTCTCATCCTAGCAGGAGCTAAATCGTTTAGCGCCCCGTTGGGCTTGGCGGTCGTCGACCCTCGCGTGAGCCTGGGATGCCCGCGTCAGGCTTGCCTCTGGCCCGGGGCGCCCGCCTGGCCTGCACTCCCTCCCCGGACCCCGGGCCCGCCTGCCCTCCCCGGGCTGGCCCGGGGGGCGTGTGGAGGCCAGGGGGGCGGGCCGCGGCAGGAGCTCCTGGCTACTGGGACGCGGCCACGCGGGCCGGGGGCGAGGGACGCGGACCAGAAGCGGGAGGAGCCCCGGGGCCGGGGCCGGGGCCGGGGCCGGTCCCGCTGGGTGGGCATTCCCGCGGGGCGCCGAGGTGCAGCAGGAGGGCGCTTCGCCGACGCCGTGGGTCGGCGGGGACGGTGAGAAGGGCAGGCCCGGCGGCTCCCTCCGGGCGCGGGGCGCGCGCCCGCGCGGTGGGCGGGAGTCCTGAAGGGACGCGGAGGCGGGCGCGCGCCCCGCGGGGGAGGGGGCGGAGAGCGCGAGGCGGAGGGCGGAGGCGTCTCCGTGCGGGAGCCCGGCGGACCGCGCCAGACCCTGACCGAGCCTCGCGGCGGCGGCTGCAACAGGCGGCGGGCTCCGCTCGGGGGCGGAGGCGGCGAAGGGGCGGGGAGCGCGAGGAGGAGCGACCCGGCCCCGCCGCCGCCGCCTCTTCCCCGCCGCATGGACGAGCACCTCAGCCTTCTGCGCTCGCCGCCGCTGCCCTCAGCCCGCCACCGCGCCCACCCTCCCCAGAGCCCCGCGAGCGGCGGCGGCGGCGGCGGCGGTGGCGCTCACACGCTGCTGAACCCCGGCTACTCCGAGCCCGCCGCGGGCCCCGAGCTGCCGCCCGACATGACCGTGGTGCCCGGGGACCACCTGCTGGAGCCGGAGGCGGCCGACGGCGGAGGGGCCCCGCCTCAGGGCGGCTGCGGCGGCGGCGGCGGCGGCTGCGACCGCTACGAGCCGCTGCCGCCCTCGCTGCCGGCCGCGGGCGAGCAGGACTGCTGCGGGGAGCGCGTGGTCATCAACATCTCGGGGCTGCGCTTCGAGACGCAGCTGAAGACCCTCTGCCAGTTCCCCGAGACGCTGCTGGGCGACCCCAAGCGGCGCATGCGGTACTTCGACCCGCTCCGCAACGAGTACTTCTTCGACCGCAACCGGCCCAGCTTCGACGCCATCCTCTACTACTACCAGTCCGGGGGCCGCATCCGCCGGCCCGTCAACGTGCCCATCGACATCTTCTCCGAGGAGATCCGCTTCTACCAGCTGGGCGAGGAGGCCATGGAGAAGTTCCGCGAGGACGAGGGCTTCCTGCGGGAGGAGGAGCGGCCCCTGCCCCGCCGCGACTTCCAGCGCCAGGTGTGGCTGCTCTTTGAGTACCCCGAGAGCTCCGGGCCGGCCCGGGGCATCGCCATCGTGTCCGTGCTGGTCATCCTCATCTCCATTGTCATCTTCTGCCTGGAGACGCTGCCGGAGTTCCGCGACGAGAAGGACTACCCCTCCTCGCCGTCGCAGGACGCGTTCGATGCCGCCGGCAACAGCACGTCGGGGGCCTCCGGGGGGGCCTCCAGCTTCTCCGATCCCTTCTTCGTGGTGGAGACCCTGTGCATCATCTGGTTCTCCTTCGAGCTGCTGGTGCGGTTCTTCGCCTGTCCGAGCAAAGCCACCTTTTCGCGCAACATCATGAACTTGATTGACGTCGTGGCCATCATCCCTTATTTTATCACTCTGGGTACCGAGCTGGCCGAGCGACAGGGCAACGGACAGCAGGCCATGTCCCTGGCCATCCTGAGGGTCATCCGCCTGGTGAGGGTCTTCCGCATCTTCAAGCTCTCGCGCCACTCCAAGGGGCTGCAGATCCTCGGGCAAACGCTGAAGGCGTCCATGCGAGAGTTGGGGTTGCTCATCTTCTTCCTCTTTATTGGGGTCATCCTCTTCTCCAGCGCGGTCTACTTTGCCGAGGCAGACGACCCCACCTCAGGTTTCAGCAGCATCCCGGATGCCTTCTGGTGGGCAGTGGTAACCATGACAACAGTGGGTTATGGTGATATGCACCCAGTGACCATAGGGGGCAAGATTGTGGGATCTCTCTGTGCCATCGCCGGTGTCTTGACCATCGCATTGCCAGTTCCCGTGATTGTTTCCAACTTCAATTACTTCTACCACCGGGAGACGGAGGGGGAAGAGCAAGCCCAGTACCTGCACGTAGGAAGTTGCCAGCACCTCTCCTCTTCAGCCGAGGAGCTCCGAAAAGCAAGGAGTAACTCGACCCTGAGTAAGTCGGAGTATATGGTGATCGAAGAGGGGGGTATGAACCATAGCGCTTTTCCCCAGACCCCCTTCAAAACGGGCAATTCCACTGCCACCTGCACCACGAACAATAATCCCAACTCCTGTGTCAACATCAAAAAGATATTCACCGATGTTTAATATATAACACAAGTGACATGCTGTGCTCGGTATTGTGTGGAACGTGCCCCCTTGGTCTGCCTATGCCCTTGTTTTATACATTTCCAGACCATTCATCAAGGAAAGGACCTGAAGAAGTGGGAAGCACACTTCATTCTCCCTCTCCCTACTGCTTCATACTGAAACAGGTGCCTGTTTTGCAAGTGGGCTGCATTCTCTCAGCTCTCCTTTTCCCCCTTACTCTCTCTCTCTCTCTCTTTCTCTCTCTCTCTCTCAATATTGTAAACAACAAACTTACATTAAACTTCATTTCTAGTACACGCCCTATTTAGAAAAAAAAAGAAAAAGCAGTACATCCTGGGAGGAAATGAAACTAAAGAACAGTTAGAGTAACTGTTTAACCTCAGAATTTTAAAGGCAGTTGTTTCTTTCCTAAGCACATGAGTTTGTAGTAAATGATACTTCAGTTTGATGGACCTTTCAACATTATTTACTGAATAAGTATTTCGGTTGCCTACCCTGTAGATATGTGGATGAAGAGTCTAACTAGAATAATGACTTGTTAAAACCACCACGAGTTTATTTGGTTTTTCCCTGAATTTTAAGGGTCTCTACAACTTTGAATGAAGGGAAATGCCCAAGATGTCCTGATCTGACTAATTAGTTTTATTCTTTCGGGCTTGCTAAGCATTTCTAAAGCATTAGACTAACAGATTCCTGTGAAGTTCTGTGCATATGTCCCAGCCTCAACATCTATCAAAGTCTGGAAACAGATGTTTTCAGTGCTGCTGAGAGAAACAAAAAATTTCCTAATGCATCTGAGAGATAAGCTTCGGCAGTATTACAAGAAGATTAAAGTGGCAGACACCCCTTCCAGCGGAAGTTACTAATTCGGACCTGACTGATGCAGTTCCCATAGCAACCCATGTTTCCTGGGAAACCCGAAAAAGGTTGTCATGGCATCTCTTGCTCTCTAGCCCCACCTTCCAGTCCCTGCTGTTTCCACAGTAACCTTTCCAGATGGTTCCTACTTAAATGATTTCATAAAGGAAAACCACTGTTTGAATAAACTGCAAAAATAAAGTTAAGTCTGAGACTCTAAGGAGGTGAAATGAATCCCAAATGCATTTTTTAACTATGAAAATCATTGATGTCATTCCATAATGACTGAATCAAGAAGGAAAATATGGTATTTGGAATGTTACATATTAACCACAATAAGGCATGATCTGGATTAAGTGCCATTTATTAGGCAATAATTTTTAAAGATGCTTCTCTACAGTTTTCTTTCTCCAAGAATTTTCAAGCCAACAAATGGAATTTAAAAGCAAATGTAAAAGTGTTCTGTACATAAGCAAATGAGAGATACAATCAATGTACCTGAAACCTTACAACAAAGGATCTTCAGGCTTTCTCTTTAAAAAAAAAAAAAAAAAAAAAAATACAGATCCCACAACAGCTCTGTCATCATCACAGCACTTGACAAGCCAAGTAAACTTCAAATAGATGAAGGATGCACGTTTTAAACTGAATGAATTGCAGACAATCAATAAAAAGGAGGGACAGGAAGTAACCAGCTCTTGGGAGAACACCTGCAGCTTTCAGCCATATGCCAAGGGTTGCCAGAAGACAGACAGAATCAGGTGAGCACTATGTGATCTACTGGGAGCAGTCCCTTTTGTATCCAGAGCCAGGGAACTGTCATTAATATCTAGATTGACGGTATTTGCAAAACCAATAGTTTTATGTTAGTTACATGCTTGGCATCTTTTTAAAGATAATTTACACTTTTTTTATTTGATTTTCATGTTGCTAACTGTCCTTTAGTTTTCATTGTTTATTACAAAAAGAATGACAAAACAGTCATTGCTATTCAGAATAACCTTCACCCAAGCAGAACTGAAAATTGAATTCCATTCCTTTTACTAACCCACTTGGCCTCCAATCAACCTGTTTCTCCTTACAAAAGGATAAATGACAGAATCTACTGCTGTTAGATTATTGGTCCAGTGTTAATTTACGTAATTATTTAATAGTACACAGTGGTACAGTTCTTTCAAACAAAAAATGGTTAAAAATAAGAGTAACATTTAAACATAATCGTTTTGTTTCATATACAGTATATAAATTATACATCATCCACAATTGCCTTTTGGTTTTGATAGCATGTAACTATTCTATCCTTACAGAGTAAATTAGAGTAACCCTATTTTTAAAGCCCATGAAGTATTTTCAGTTAGAAGCTCATTTATTATGCATGCACTGAAGAGACTGGAAAATAATGATTGAGACTGCAAGAGAGTGATGAGGAAGGAAAACACCAAATAGAGGCAAGAAATCTAAATATACCTGATCATAGATTAGTTGTTTGTTTTTATCTATGTATATCTAAATATGACTCTATTGTCTAGTTTTCTTTGCTTTTTGTTTGAGTTAACCTTTGACGTTGATCTACCTCTTGACCAAACTTTTGGTACCCTTAATGACCAGAAATTATTTTTATGACGCATTTTGAAAATATGTTAGATACATTATAACAATTACATAAAAATAATTTTTGTATCTGTTCTTAAAATAACACAGAAGTCAATGCAGTGCAATGACAATTTTAGTCACATTTATTCTGAAGATGCAGAAACCTTGATTAATTCTATAAGTAAATTATGGTTGTGCCATAATTCTTATGGTTATTAACTGGCAGTAATTTAAAGGGGACCTTTGTTCTTTAATCCAGAGAAATATCCTGGCTTTTGAGTCATAGCTTTGAGGTAATATGATTGCTTGTAGTCACCACATTGTAAGTTCCCTAAAGGCTATAGGCTCTGTGTCTTGAAAGTATTGGGTACTAGTGCCTAGCACAGAATGTGACACCTTTTATATTTGTTGAGTGAATAGCTGTTATTTTACATGACTGCTGTTATTTCCAAGCTTTTAATGAAGTGGTTTAAAGCATAAGCTCTGCAGTCATATTGCCAGGGTTTGAATCCTGACTCTGCTCTATGATCTTGAGCACATGACTCTCTCTGCCTCAGTTGCTTTGTTTGTAAAATGAGGGCGATAAATAGTACCTCATAGGTGTGTTGTGAACAGTAAATGTTAATACAGGTACAACACTTAGAAAAAATAATTTCATGACATGGCATCAGAGATTTTGTTAAGAGATTATATTGGGATCATTATTCACAAGCATTGTATAATTAATGCTTCGTGAATATGAAATACATAATCAATGCCTTCCTATTTCCTTTCAATAATAATAATAATAATTACCATTCATTAAGGGTCAACCATGTCCTGGACACTTGTCAACTCTGCAATAAGTGCTGTTAACCTCATTTTAGGAGGGCAAAAAATAGATGCTTAAAGTTAAGTGATTTCTCTAAGAGTTCACAGCTAGCAGGAGACTCAGCAATGATTTAAAGCCAGGTTATTCTGGCTCTGAAACACATCCTACTTTTATTAGGTGACTTGAAAGACAAAAAATAAATCTCTTAACGCTTTTAGTCTTGGCTTCAGCCCATGTCACTAATTAATGAGTTGATGTAGATAACATATCTCCAGAAATCTGTTTCATTTCAGTATACTGAAAATTAACCTCTTTAAAATATCGGATATTTTAACCAAATATAAGGATCAAATATAAGTTATTTAAATCAGATGAAGAGATGGAGTTTTCTAATAATAAAAGATTATTTTATTGTGCTTGGTTTATCTATATAACCAGTCATGGTAGTGTTTAATGATAACTGCTAGGACAATAGATATTTTTCAGTTTTAAGATTTTTTGTTTTCATGTGTTTTAATCAACAATAGTGATAGCATTATGCAAATTATTTTTCTATCACCTTATACTGTGCTTAAGTTACTGAAGAACCATTCCAGAAAGTCATGAAAATATTTTGACTCTCCCTTATTAAGAGGGAAGAAATTATTCAGAACAGAAGTATTAAAAGCAAAAAGAGATTGCCAGTTCATTGAAACTTGTGACAGTATTGCCTTACCTAACCACTCCAAGGATCTTTAAGGGCATCTGTGCTCTAAAATAAGTAAATAAATAAAAATATAATTTTTCTGACATAATAGCTGCAGACCTTTCTCTAAGTTCTTAAATCATTTATGAAATATAAATGGATAGTGACTTGGCTTAAAGCAAAATACTAATGAGTCTATGTTTTCATATGCCGGCTAGCTTTGCCAAACTACACGCTTCACTGTTGAGGTCAGTTGCATGTCTTAGGTGTTGAAGAAATATACATATGTCTATGTATAGCAAGAGATTCATGTGAGGAGGCATGACTGGATCAGTGCATATCCATCAACACCCTGGGAAAAAAATGTATATGCCCTACAGCTAATGAATCCAGATGAAACAGAGAAGTTAACGTTGTTATTATTTTATTTCTTTTATGATGTTTTAAAACTATGTGATGCACCAATTATGGTGACATAACCACAGGCACCTACACATAGGAGGAAGCATTATGTCAGTTATTTCTAAACTTTGAAATAAAAATTTAGTATTGAAATTTTAAATGCACAGTATGAAGAGATTTAAAGTTATGGTTTGTTGGCATAAAACTTATTTACCTTTTTGGCATGTAACATACTCAAGTATTTGCCTTGCCATAGTATGTAAATACAATGTATATAATATATACCAGTAGTCTATTCCTTTGAGAACCATAACTATAATTTACTGACTTCTATACATTTAAAATTTCAACATTTTCTACAGCAGTTCCAAGTCCTTCCCACCTCTCAGCTGCGAATAGAAGTGATAACCCTTCCCACTAAGAAATGCAAGGAAGCACACATGCCCCATAATCTGAAGACTTATGGAAACACTGTGAGATAGAGGTGAGGAGCATAAGAATGTGGAAGAGAATATTTAGGGATTCCATTTTTAAGGTGGGAGCTTCTTTTTTCTGTTTTGTATTAGGCCTTTTAAACTAAGGATAAAATTACTGATTTTTGTACTGTTAATTCCTTATGGTTTTGGGGACAATTTTATATGTATTAGTGAAATCGCTTGTTTTTCTATATACCTTTTGGAAGTGGTTGATAACCGTTGAGCAAAAGTAAATCAAAGAACGCAGGAAAAAGGGAGCAGAAACCAATCAGAGCCTAGACCTTATTATTGTGACTCAGCTCTTAACTTTCTGGCAGAAAATGGCCATTTCTATATAGCATATTATAATAGTATTCTTTATGTACTCATATTCAGTTTGCAAGTATAATTTAAATAAGACTGATTAGAAAGCTTTCAGATGTTTGTCTTGGTTTTTAATGATGTTGTGAGCTAATTTTCAAAATTGTGAAGAAAAATGCATTTTAAAAAGAAGTATTTTCATGATTTTTCTGGGTTTTTTTATACTAGCTGTTTTTTTATTATTATTATTTCAAAGTTTGCACCGTTAGCCGTCAAATGCATTTTAAGAAGAGAACTAGAAAAGCGGCTCCATCATTTTCTTGGGAGCCATGTTGTTATTGTTGTAACCTAAATAGTGTGGAATAGGAACTCTGCCCTAAAAAATAAAGCCTGGGATTCTAGTTGTTAGCAATACAGCACTTAAGTGGAGAAAAGGCTATGTTTCATCATATCTGAAGAATGTTATGAATAAATTTGATCATACAAGACTGACTTTGCAGATACAAGGGTCATACCTTCCAATATGGTGATAGTGATTGGGGAGAAGCTTTTTCTCTTCCAGTGAGCTTCCAACCTCACACCCACTCCTAATCTCATAGCACAAAGACTCTTGGGAATCTCTGTGGAGGCCCCCACCAACTTTTTAGAATGAAAGTTAGCATTGTGCCTATGTGTTTTATATCATACAGCACTGTTATTTCATTTGTCTTCCATTACATTTATTTTAAACTCCCATTTATTATGGAAGTCCCTCTGAATACTAACATTCTTGTTTTTATACATTTAAACATGTTCTGTAAATTAAAACATACTTAATTTGGGAGAGAAGCAGTGGGGACAATTTATTACACACACACACACACACACACAAACACACACACCCAAACACAAACACCTCGCCTGTTCATAGATTACTTCCAATCCTGCAATACAATTTACTTTCTATCTATAGATCTAAATGATCTCATTTTTTTCTGAAAATTAGTGAATTTCCAAAATGTTGCTTTTGATTCCATATGTGCAGCATCAATATTTACAAATCATTTTTCTTGTTTTCCAGCCTTACTTAAAACACAGATGTATTGCCTAGTGTTTTCAATGTCTTTATTAATGAAATATTCATAGAAATAGTAAATATACTCAAACTTTCACCAAATTTTGTCATTTAGCCTCCCAAATATCTCTAAAAACAGCCCACTTTGCTATGGAACTGCCAGGACGACTCTAATCCACACTATCATCTCTATCCTATGTAAGTGTAAAGGTCTCTTAATGGCATCCTTACGTTTCCTGTGGCCACTCTTTGACCTTTTCTCTACTTGGTAGCCAGAATGATCTTTTGAGACCAAAATCTGATTACATAACCCATGCCGCTGAAAATTCTTTCAGGGTCTTCTTGTTTTTAGGATAGAGCCCCAAAGGCTTAGTATAGCTTTTATGGCCCCACATAATCTCATATCCAGCCTTATCTCCTCTTTGCTTATGTTTCTCCCCTCATTCTTTTGTGCTCCAGTTACTCTGGTCTTCTTCCAGATACAAGATAAACTCCCTTTCCTCCTCAAGCTAATGGAGATCTTTGCAAATGTTTCACTACCAGCCTCCTCTTTCTGTCCTCACCTCTTGACTTCTATTTTTACTTCAGTACTTCTCCAGGGCATCTCTCATGACTCTAGTTTTTTCAGTTCCCCTGTTACAGTATAGTAGTTCATTAAATTTAAGATGCCCTTGATTATAAGAAATACCATTATTTATGTACTATTTTTTAAAATTTCCAATTGTTAGGATAAAGTACCAGTGATTTTAAGGTGCATCCCAATTTCATAGATGCTCAAATCTAAAAATGTGTGTCTTAGAATGTGTTAAATGTGGTATGTGATCTTGACATAGCTGCAATTTTATATTAATTTGTGTTATATGATCAATTTCTGTTTCTTCCATGAGAGTGGGGACTATATCTCTCTTTGTTCACCACTGAATCCCTTCCCACTTTCTCCTGAGTCTGCTCCAAAAGGCTGTCACACCTATCACTCTGCCAAAAGTGTACTTGGCAAGGTCACTGGTGACCTCATATAATGATACGCAATCGTCCTTTCTCAGTTCTCATTTCAATCTGGCCTATCAGAAGCATTTGGCATGGTCGGGTACTTCCCCCTTTCTAAGAAGACTGTCTTTATTTGACTTCCAAGATGCCACACTGTGGATTTTTTTTCTACCTCTCTGGTCTCTCCTTCTTAATCTTATTTACTGGTTGTTTCTCATCTGTTCGTTTTTCAACCCATCTTATTCTCATAGTTTTAGACTATGTATGTATGTTAATTTGTATCTCCCACATAGACTTCTCCCTTGAGCTCCTAATTGAATTTTTCACCTATCTATGTGGCATCTCCACTTGGATATATAATAGATATCTCAAACTTAGTATGTCCAAGCTGAGTTTCCCTCCTTCTCCACTCTCTATACCATCAAGCCTGTACTTCCTCCTCCTTCCCCACCTCCACTATTGGCAGCGTCAATCTTCCAGTGGCTCAAGCTAAAATCCTTGGAATTATCCTGGATTCTTTTTCTCTTACATTCCTTATTTAATCTACTGGCAAATACTGTTGACACTACTTTTAAAATGTTTCAAGAGCCTTACCACTTCATAACACTTCTACTTGACCTAAACCGTCATTATCGTCACCTGGATTTTTATAGTAGCTTCCCGATTGGTCCTCCAGTTTCCATCCTTCCTCTTATTTGAGTCTATTCTCAACATAACAGCCAGAGTGATTCTTTTAAAACACTTATCAAGTTGTGTTACATCTTTGTGTCAATACCACCATTCAGCACCCCGTTTTACACAGAATACTAACTAAAGGCTTTTTTTACAATGGCCTGCAAGGCCCTGTCTCATTTTGCCCTCCTTACCCTTTTGACCTAATTTTCAACTCCTCTCCCACTTGATCCTGTGCTGCAGCCACACTGGCCACCTCGATCTTCTTCTAATGCACCAGGCATACTCCACCTTGGGGTCTTTGTATTTGTTGTTTCCCCTGCCTGAAATGTTCTAGCATCTGATATCTGCATGACTGCCTCCATCACCTCCTTCAGGTGTCACTAGCCACAGTATTGAAAACTGCAGCCTCATAACACTCTCTATATCTTTTCTCTGCTTAATTTTTCCTCTAATGTATTATTTGGTTTATTTTGTTTATTGTCTGTTTTGCATTCCCTTCCATGAGGACAAGGAGTTTTGTCTGCTCAATGTGCTGTATCACCCAAAACCTGGCATAGTACCTGAAATACAGTTGGTGCTCCATAAGTGTCTATTGGAAGGAGAGACGAGAGGAAGGAAATTGCATTCCAAATTGAGGTGTTTTTAACCTGTAAACAAAATTTTCATGTCACACATCTCTACCTCATGTAATCACTATGTGGCTTATGCTCCTCATCATGCTCTGAAGGACAATATTCCTTGTAATCAATTCACTGGAGAGGGCTTCAATGTGTCAAAACATGCTCCAGCAAGTTTTCCACAAGAAGTATTATACCACCCAAGTATGGGGATGGAATCCCTTAATGTAGGTTACTTAACTGTTACCTTATATGAGATATCACTGAGGGTACCTAGTCACTAAGGATACATGGAAGTTAGAATGTTTCACCAAGACCATGTTTTTATCCTACATAATAGCTAATAGAGTGTTTATTAGTGATAACATAAACATGTTGACTAATTGACCAGGATGGCACAGCAAAATCAGAACAAACAAGTGATATCTCCAGAGGGCTTATCTATCTATCAGACATTCTAAGAAACTTCCCTATAAGTCTCGGTTTCAGTTAATGATGACTCCTAAAAATCCATGGAGTCTTCATTACTATGGAAGCTGATTGAATCAAACATTATATTTCACTAGTGAATCACATTACAGAACTACATCACTGTAGATATGGCCTGATTGGATGTCTTTTGCAAAATAACCTAATTTTAAGTGTAATTATCATTACCTCTTAAAATTATGACATTTAAAAGTTGGCTATTTTTTGAAGTGACTGTTCATACGTGAAAGGAGATGGGGACATTTAATTAATGAAAAGTAAGAGCAGATTCTTAGAGTGATATTTATAAAATGTTAAAACTTAAACTGCTTCTAAATAATAAGATGGAAGGTGAAGGCAATCCAGTAGCCTTTGTTTCTTAGTTTTGGGATATTCCTAACACCGTTGAAGTATCAACACATATAGTATGGAATTACTGAAACTAATTAAAGCATTGATATGACCACTGCAGATATTTCCATGATTTTATGTAATACTGTAACCAAGGCACTTTCCTCTGCAGTAGGAAACAAAGATTCTTCTAATAAGAATAGAGAGGAATTTTCTCTGCACCCCTTTTGAATTTTCTCCTTTCCCTGGATTTCTCAGGCAAACCAGACCAGAGAATGACCTGATTGTTGCCTCTGCATATCCAAGTGGGACAATTTCCTTACCAAACGTGTCAACAAACTTAAAACTGATGTATATGACTGCATTTGCATATGTAGAAATTAGAAATCAGAAACTGTTTTCTCCTTACACCACTTTATACAGTTAAGCTCACGTAGGATAAAGATCATTTTGCTCTTCTGAGAAAAATGTTGTTAGGGATCATTAAAGAAATGACACAAAATGTGTTATTGAAATCTGTTTTTATTTTTTTCTGGTTTTGGATGAAAGATTGTGACATTGTTTATTTTTGCAATTTAAATCAATATGAGTTTTACTTGATTTTCTATTATAACCTTGTTTAGTCAACATGTTAGACATTTAAGAGGCAGCCTTATGTGCCATTACACTTTGTATTTACCTCATGTCTGATTACAGAACAATAAAATATCAGATAGTCATGAATACATTTCTTCTATAAGAAATTATTATGAAAAGCATGTTAAACAAGACTATGTGTTAGACTTCTAAAGAGCAAAATTTATTGGGTAACCGAAAAGTACAGACAGAAATAATTTCTCCAAGTAAGAACTGTTTGAATTGCTTTATACCTGGATTCTGTAGACCTTTTACCTGCAGACCTTTTAACTGATTTCAGAAGAGCATTTTACTGTGTGACTGTAAAAATTGAGGATATTTATTATTAGTAGACCTAAATACTGTTCAAAGTAGTATCGATTATACCTTACGGCTCATTTTCCCATGACTTTCTAGATTTTTTTAAAAGCTCATATCTTACCATATTACTAACTTTACTTACTGAGTGAGATTAAAGGTTTTTGCTTGCTAAGAGTACATAATTTTCAAGACCTCAATCAGAAAATCATATATAATTGAGTAAGAAATCTTTCTAGTCCTTGAGCTTATTCATTACCGTTTACTTGGTAAAACTGGTAAAACTTACTAGTGTGTAGCTAACTCTAAGTAATTTAATAGATGTCAAAGTATATAGACACATAAAAACAAAGTTCCCATAAAAATGCATGCTATAGAATGACTTCAACTCTTTTCTCATCAAATATAAGTTAATGAGACTAAAAGTAAAGCTAGGTTTCTGTACTTCTTTCCTTTAGGCCTTTTGGAGGTATTAATTACTTCATAAATTTGATAATAATTGAAATTTGACCATTCTTACTCTCTTTTCTTGTTCTATATGTTGGAACATTTATTTGGTAAATTATCTTCAATTATAGGTCACTGTTTTCTATTGCACCTCCTTTTTCTCTTTTTATAGAATTGATTTTGTTACTTAATGTCCATTCTTCTAATCCTTTCAACCCACATCTTAACCATTAGTATAGATATTATGATTATTATCCTCATATCACTTTTATTTTTGTTTCTGTTGAATTAAAACTCCCTCTAACACCTATACTTTATTAGGATGCCATCCTGTACCATTCTTATTTAATAATCTCAAGAGCCTTCAGAGGCAGGTATTAATACATGAGGTTTTTTTTTTAAGGCCCAACCTTTGATATGAAAGAATACAACAGCAGCAAGACAAGAATAGCTTAATGGAGACCTCTGAAAGTACGCAAAGCTGCAATAGCATTGAGCAGAGCCTAGGCACTTAGGAAATAAAATGAATGCTAGGTCATTAATGTTACTTGTGATTTCTTATAATTAGTAGTCATTAATAACTATATAACTTTAAAACTCTGATAGTGAAAATTAAGCATACTATGAACATACTCTCTTTTTACCTAAACATCAATATTAAGACTTAAAATCACTGATGGGCAGTGATCTATCTGCAAGATCAAGGTAACCAAGTATTTAATCAAGGACAATAAGAAGAAATTTTCAATAGATAGATAATTGATTGCCCAGCACACAGTAGGCATACAGTATTTAATTTAGCAAGTGAATGATTCTTCCATCAAAAGCAAACTCAAATTTCAAAGCACCATCTTTGGGCATTTACCACTGGTTTTGGGCATGTGCTAAAACCAGGAGTATATATGGGAAATAGTCTTCTCTATATATTATGATGGATGATATTAACATAATCAAATCCAGAGCTGGGTTTATAACATCTTTTATTTTTGTCTTTATAATTTCTGTCTTTATATTATATACTTAGTAAATTTTTAGAGTATATAAATCTAATTTTTATATATCCATTTATTCATTCAATATGTATTTACTGAGTACCTCCTATGTGTCAGACACTACCCAGGGTGATAGAGGTTTATTCATTCATGAAGCATATAAAGTATGTACTATATGCCAAACACCATTCTAGATTCTGGATGTAGGAAGTAAATAAGACTTTCATATTGCTTTGGCTCTTTTTAAAAATATTTTGCTATCAGAATTTCTCAATAATTATTTGGCAGTTAGGAGAGAGAAGCACCATAGCTTTAACCTTTATTTCTTGATTCTCCATAGACCCTGTGAAGTGGTTATTATTGTCTTAATTTGGGATATTTTGAGTGGTGTGTAACTATGGAGAGTTCATATTTTAAAGAATCAACAGATTTAAAAGTTATTTGTAATGAAGAGATAAATGATAGGAATGACATCCTATTAGCACATAGACCATGGTTTTCTCAGCACTCATTTGGAGACTGTCTCCCTCTCTCCCTCTATTTTTCTCTCCATGACACTTAGCATTGGATTTTTATTTCAGGAGTTCTCATCATAGAATACCACAGTAGGATGGACCGCCAGAAAAAAAAGTTCTTGGAAATACACTGAGAAAATTAATACATACATTTTTCTAAAAATCAATAGGTACTCAGAACTTTTCAGATGATTCTAAGGATGAAGATAAATTTTCTGTCTAAAAGCAAACTATCACACTGGTTTGGACTAAATTTCGAGGTCATTATTAGCAGAAAAGATGGTTATAATTTTAAGTTACAAATTAAAAGAAATACACTGTTAATACATTTAGACAATTAAATTGCCTGAACTTTTCAGGGTAACAGTTTTTTAAAAGCCAGCATTTTGAAAAAGATAATAAATGGAACATTTTCTGTTGACATAAACTTTATAGTTTTTTTTAAGTTAAATGTACCAGTAAATTATTGTGTTTACTCTGTCTGACAGATCCCTGAAGAGACCCCCACATAAAGAACTGTAGAGCTGCACTGACCAGTAGGATGCTCCATTTTAAATTGCCTGGATCAAGAATGCAGTGGCAATTATATCACTGATGGGCAATGATCCACCTGACAGCATATATTTTTATTTCAGTTGACATTAAATAATATGTCTCTAACAAATGCTTTATATAAAGGGAACAACTCTGACGTCGGAGGATTTGCTTCATATTGTGTGCCATATAAAAGACATTTGATCAATAGATGAAGAATCTTGAAAATATTAAGGTATTATTGCAACCTTTCGACATTTTGATGAAATCAAATCATCCAAAAACTATAATCAGTGCTGCAGATAAAGAAAGCCTAAAATTTGTTTCTAACAAGCCAACTGTTGCTTTTTTCTTTTTTCAATTAATTAGTGGACTGTGTTTAATCATGAGATATAGTCATGTTATATTCCATGTTCTGGGTTATGTGCAACTTTATTTGTGAAGGTGTGTTTTGTACCAAAGGCTCTCATACATAGATTAGCCCATTTACATATAAATAAGTGAGGTCTACACTGTGCCCAAATAAATGGTATTAAAGACAGACTTGCCTAAAAGAAATGTGCCTTGCTTGATTAAACATTATTTTATTTTTTATTCAAAATGATAGATTTTCAAATTAGTGTTATAGGTTTTAGCTGAGGTGAACTTTACAAAAATATATGACTACTTATTCCGTTTTAGTATTCTATCTTAATTAAAATTATAACATTAGTTATGCCTTCAACAGTTCATATGTAATATGTTCATTTCATTTTGTTTTCATGGGATGTTTGGTGTGATGCAACAAAGCACATTCTTAAATATAATATTTCATCTAATGTTTATAACTTTTCCTTCAAAATTATATATGTAAAAGTTTCCTTAACTCATTTTCTATTTTTATATTCTTTTAGAAATGGAACTCTTTTTCAATTAAAGAAAAGTTTTAGTTGGAAAAGAGATTTAGGAGGTCATGAAGATGGTTTCCTATTTGGGGACATTTCACTTCTGTGCCATTAATGTATTTTACTGTGACATTTCAGCAGAATGGTAGCTATTTGTATATTATTTCATAAGCCTTATGGAAAGTCAAACTGTGAAAATTTATTATATAGAACACTTTATTTCCATATTTTAGTTTCAAAATATATCTGAACAGATGCATAAATAACCAATCTTCTGTTATTTAAATGTATAACAATGCTATGTGATAATGAGAGCACTTGTAGAATTTTAATTACTATAAAAACATTTCAGTAGCAAAGCCAAGATTATAAATTTTTTGATGCCCTACAGAATGGAATACAAGTGATGAATTGCACTGTATGAGAATCAGTAACTAAAACAATCTTATACTTGCAGCAAGACAGACAGATAAATACAAGATACAATCTAGGTAACTTTCTTTGAGGCAAAGTCTACAATGAATTTCTCACAATCTGTTGGTAATTTCTTTGTGTCAAAACTTTGAGACCAGATCACTACAGGAAAATAAAAAGTCTGACAGCTATCTCAGGTTTGAGCTATGTGAACCTTTAGTCAAGATGATTTGTGATTAAAGTGAAAATATAGCCACTATCTTTTCTTTGTTTTATGTTAGCCCATTTAGTAAGACATTGGCCTGGAAAATAGTCAGTCCATTGCAGCCAACTAATCCTTGTAACTAATTATTATAGCCTGGATAGCAGCAAAGTAATCCACATCAGCTATTGGGATGATTGAAACAAACTGATCAACTGTGTTACAGGAGGTTTTAGACATACCGATGTTTTAGTAAGAATCAGTAGGCGTTACAAAAATAGACACAAAAATTACCTTTATAAAACACCAATGGCACCACTGTATGCATTATAGTATATTTAACATCTGAATTATTATTACAGGTTACAGTTTCAAATAAACACAAAACCCAGATTTTTGTGATAAAAGTACAGGATGGTGTCAGATGAGTAAACTGTCATACTGAATATGGTTCACAGAATGGATAGTAAAAATGGTACTTCTTTAGATAACAATAGACCAGAATTCTCATCCACTTTCTACCTGTGGGACCCTAGGTAAATCAGTTACATTACTAGCTTCAGTTTGCAGGCTTAAATTGTAAGATGAGTGTGCTAGATTCAGTGATCTCCAAAACCCTTACCAACCCCCAAATTCTCATTATACACATTTGAGAAATGCTTTGAAGAAAACTTAGGGCTGGGTGCAGTGGCTCATGCCTGTAATCCCAGCACTTTGGGAGGCCAAGGCGGGTGGATCACTAAGTCAGAAGTTTGAGACCAGCCTGGCCAACATAGTGAAACTCCGTCTCTACTAAAAATACAAAAATTAGCTAGGCATGGTGGCACATGCCTGTAGTCCCAGCTACTTGGGAGGCTGAGGCAGGAGATTTGCTTGAACATGGGAGGTGGAGGTTGCAACGAGCCGAGATTGTGCCGCTGAACTCCAGCTTGGGCAACAGAGGGAGACTTCATCTCAAAAAAAAAAAAAAAAGAAAAGAAAAGAAAAAAGAAAAGTACCCAGATTTTCTTATGCAGGAAAGAATACATGAAGTAAGATTTAAGCCTTGAAAGTGTCATAAATATATCATTCTTCAAACTGATTGTGAGAAAAGGAAATAGGACTCTTTCTCCTTAGAATTTTCACTGATCTGTAATGGGATCAAAAAAGTAGAAAAATCAGTCTGTGGAATGGAAACATTAATTAAATAGCTAGAAAGGAGGGAAGGGTATTTGTTTAATTAAATATTAAGGCAACTTGAAAATTGTCTATGAAATGCTAAAACAGTTCCAGAGCCTTATTGCACACTCACCATTTTAAGCCTGAGAGCAGGGAAATGTGCAAAAAGGTTGGAGTGATAGAAGTGTTTGCTTTATGATCTCTTGACTCCCTTTACACAAGAAGCAGATTGGTAGAGCTTAAGCAGGTGTCTGTGCTGTGGTGCTGGCTCTGCCAAAAACTCTCATGTGCCCTAGGAAGGTTCCTTTAACTTCTCTGGGGCCCGAGTTTCTTTATCTGTAAAATGAAGAGTTTTTAAATTTAGTAATCTGTGTGTCTCTTTTCATCTCTGAGAATTCTATAACATTTTCAGATTGTTATATGTGTACATGTACATGTTGCTCACCTCCGTTCACTAAGATGCTACATATTTCTACTTGAGTGACTGAACAGATTGCAAGTCCAAATGTTCTCGTTTCTAATAATAATAATTGACCTCAGCAAGACATATAAAAGGTAAATCTTTTTATTTTGACTTTGGCTTTAAACTATTATGATTTGTCATTTCATCTTTGAATGCTGAGTGAGTTACCTAAACAGAATGTCTGTTCCAGTTAATCTTCTCCTTAAATTTTTGTTGTTTTATAAACATGTAGCAAATTAGAAGCAAGTATATTTTGCTTATCAGTGAACTGTAGCACATTGTAAGGTGCATTTTTGTCACATTAAAAACTTAATGTTCTTTTGGTCCCCGAAGAAATGACTGTAATTTAAAATAATAGTCACAAAATTTTGTGAATGTTTTTGAATACAAAGGAGGCCTGATAGAGCCATATTGCAATTCATTTTGCTCAGGAGTGAGAAACAAAATTCAGGGATAACCCAAACACATCTGTTTGGCAATAGTGGATAGTTAGGTAAAGAAGGGTTTTAGCTTTTGCACAACATAGGTAAGAGGCAACTGTACCTATTGAAAAACAGGAGTATATTCTGGTTCCTGGTTTTATGACAGAAAGATATTAGAAGGATACTAAAATGTGGACACTTGGGAAATTGATTAATACAGAAATATTTTGTCATACTGAGATTATTTGTCCAGAAGTTTAGTCTTATATCCCTTCCATTCAGAAGAGGGGGCAGTTTTTAAAGGCCTCTGTCATAATAGGAAGTGTGTATTTTGACTAGTGGAGCAATTAATTAAAACATTTAATCTGATCATTTTGGTTTTATGAATCTGAATTTTCACTTTAGGTGTAATTGAATCACTTATGTATTACTGTGATCTTTGTGAGAAGTGATTTTGTCCATTTTTTTAAAGTTGATGAAACTTGATAAATGGTGATTCTAGCATATTGTATTAATACTGTATCTTACAATAATTTGTGAACTGGCCATCCTGAACAAATCATAGCAGTATGTCTTCTGGTAAATTGTTTCTATGGTGTGATCTCTTAATGCTGTGTTTGGGGGTGGGGGTGGGGTTAAGTATTTAGTTTACTTTAAACTATCAAAGTGTTTTCTTAAATGCCATAAAATGTATGACTATAAGCCAAATAATAATATCCTCTTTTTTTTTTCACTTTTAAGGGCACTATATAGACCATTTTGAAACTATCCCACAGAATGGTATAATTTATGTTTAAAAGCTCTTAGACACATATACACACACAAATATAAATATATATGTATACACACATGTACAAGGGGAAGCAGTATATGTAGTATTTCTAGGTGATATGCTACATATTATAATAATCCATTTTTGAAACATATAGATTATGCAGAAGTCAGAATAACAAATACAACACCTCAATTTTTTCAGAGTCTAGCATTCATTTACTTATAAGATTTGCTTATCATACTTCGCAAAGATCATTCACATAATTAATCTTTAAAATATTCATATGAAATACTAATGTCCTCTGAAATTTAAATATTAAACAACCAAGGTTTAGAAAGATCCAGTGACTAGTCTAGAATAATATGGCCACTAACCTCATATGTTCTTTACACTATTCACCTTTTGTCATGTTATTTTTATCCTGTCACTGCTATTATCTTTAAAACTTTAACAAAAAATTTTAAAAGACACATTGGGAATTTTCCAATTTTAGTTCAAAGACATTGTTGCTTTTCTTCTCAGACCTTTTTAGATACTTTCAGACTACAGTCCTTCCACAGAGTGAAATTCAAACATTTTCTACCTAAAACATACACCCTGACCACAGACACTGAATTCACTTGATGTCAGAATCCTAGACTAAAAATTGATCTTCTTGACTGGCATTTCTAATCTCCCTTTTCAAAAATCCATCATAATGACTGGTTTCTGAACAGTTGAATAAAGCAGTAATCAACCCAAGAAACTGCATCCATTCTAATTCAGAGGAAAAAAAACAAAACAGATCCACCCCAGTAACCATTTTTCAGCATAGTTCATCACACTTATTCTGTGATTAGTGGAGGACAGAGAAGAGGAACTGGGGAGAAAAACTGCCTTTAAGAAAAGTCATTTCCTGTAACTACTCAAAAGCAATTGATTATCAAGTATTAGATATCAGTATTACTTTTATCATAGTTCAAATATTTAATAAAATATATCTACATATTTTAAATTTTACTGAAGAATTTTCCCAGTTACAATTTAATGACTGCTTAGTTTGAATAAGAAAGACATTCATGTTTCAATTCATGACACAATATTACATTTTTATTCCTTTCTCAGACAACAGAGAGACACTGTTACTGCTTTCCCTTGTAAGTCAACAGTCTGTATGCTGTACTTTTACTGATTAGCAATGCAGTGTTACTGTGAATATTTAAATAGAACTTATTATATTGGAATTTGAAATTTTCTAACATTGAATTTAGTTCTCTTCGTCAAATAAGTCAAGCAAGTATTATTTTGTATGAAATGAAATATTCTTAAGCAGTGATAATGGATTTCTGAATAAGATGTAAAATCAAACATATTCTATTTTTTTCTATGTTTATCCTTTGTCATTGAATTGTTTTAACTTAATACATATTATTGTTAAGTTGAAATAAGCTTTATACTATATTCTCTGATGTTCTTGTCGTAATCATTTTGGGCCTTTTGTTAAGTAAATATCAGAAAATACCTGTGAGGTTTGATTATGTAATATTTTCATCTGATTCATTTTTAAAATTTGTCATTGGATTGAAAATGTTTTCTTTGCTAATGTTATATGCAGAATTCAATAAAAGATGAAAAAATCCTATTGCTCGTATTGCTAATTAGTTCTAAATGACTTCCTTCTCCTTTCTTTCTGTTCTTCCTTCATCCCTTCCTTTCTTTCCTTGTTTTCTTTTTGCAAAAGACGAAACATCAAAAGCCGGACTGTTGTCAGCAGCTCAAGCATCAGCTGCCCTTGAGACTAACTCTGCAGACTCTTGTGTATTCTCCCACATGACTGTAGTGAAGACGTCTGTGTATTACACTTAGCAAGCCCTTTAAATGCCAGCATTCCCTAGGTTTCTTCCATTGCTCCCTATCTTATACTGCTGGAGGCCCAGTAAAGTCTCAAGGAAGGCAAAACCTATTCACAATAGTCTGTGCCATTATGCTTTGTGCTAGTTATATAAGTGTAAATTACGGCACAGCAAATGTACGTTGTTTCATTTACAAATATGGATTGGACATCCAGTGTGTGCATTGCCCTGTTCACAGCACTGTTGGGGGTATGAATGTCAGTATGTAGGTGACCCTGTATATATATATATATACCCAAGCTAGTAGGTTAGGATCCTCTTTAGATCCAGAATGGTCAAATATTAAATAACATTTTGTTTTAAATATTAATTTTCTATGTATGTCCAATGTCTTTGTATCATAAGAGAGTATAATTTCTAGCAATCACCCTGTACATACCCATTGTTCTTATTATGTGCTTAGCAATGTTGAATCTAATGCTTTTTCTTTTTCCCAATAACAGCTAGTTACTCAAATGTGTTTGTACTTTTGGAATGTCAACAAATGATACATCACCAAAACAGAGACCCTCTCTCGTTTCCATCTGGAATTTTACTTTGTAAAAACTAAGTGCAGATTTAGATGGCTTTACACATGTGGTGATTAGCTATTAGATAAAAGAACAAAACTTATTTTTCTAACCCTCCAATTGACATGAGAAATGACTTTTTAAGCTTTCTGGTCATAGAATTTTGGTGATGAACTCCATAAGTGACAATTTGTAAAGTTTTTTTGGTTTGGTTGGTTTTTTTGAGAAGGAGTCTCGTTCTGTTGCTTAAGCTGGAGTGCAGTGGCATGATCTCGGCTCACTGCAACCTCTGCCTCCCAGGTTCAAGCGATTATCCTACCTCAGCCTCCTGAGTAGCTGGGACTACAGGCATGTGCCACCACACCCAGCTAATTTTTGTATTTTTAGTAGAGATGGGATTTCACCATTTTGGCCAAGCTGGTCTTGAACTTCTGACTTCAGGTGATCTGCCCACCTGAGCCTCCCAAATTGCTAGGATTACAGGTGTGAGCCACCACACCAGGCCTGAAGTATTTTGTTTTAAGGGACCAAATCTTTAAGTCCTTTGGAAACAATCACAGAGTAAATTAAGAGATGCAGGTTGTTTCCAAGGGATTACCAATATCTCTTTGAACCATGCCTCCATCCACAAAAATTCAAAGTTTTCTGCTGGATTTCAACAGAAACAAATTGTACATAATTATTGCTTTACACCTCCTATGAGTTAGGACCCACTCAATTATCCATTCACTTTTCTGTACTTGCCTTTGTACTAAAACCCTTATCAATTTTGCGACTTTCTCTCCCTTAGATCTACTGTTTATAGGTTTCATTAATCACAGTCAAAATTGGTTACTTAATTTTGTTTCAAAAAATCATTTCTACATTCAATAATATCTGATAACTTGAGTCATAGAGGAGGAGACTATATCATGGAATTAGAAAAGCCAAATGAGGAACTAAAACTCCAGTGACAATACTGTCTTAAAATGTAAGGTCAGTGAAGTAATTTTTTTGAAAATGGAGCCACAAGAGAAAAATAGAAATCTGATTTCAAAACATACAATTGACAAGAAAATGAATAAACGTGGCACAGTCCCTCACCCATGCCTGTTCTGATTTGGCATAATATATGCTTCTAAATGAAGATGAACACAAATTGATTCACAGGCACTATTTATTAACCTACAATGTAGATGCCAGGTATTGCTAGTTTATACCCATTATGCCAGCCATGAAAACAGACAGCTGTTTCCATGTAACCTAAATCTAAAAGCAATCAGAGACAGCATGGTGTAAGTTAGCCAGAGGGACTAATAGGAATCTGGAATCTGGAATAAATGATGATCGTATACCTTAAGTCTAGTTTTCATTTACCTCTATAGAGAAGCTGAGGAATTCAGCAGAGGAAAATTCTTGTGTTGTGTCTTAATTTATGGCAATAGAGATGGAAATAAGAGAGAGAAAAGTGACATTGATAAATGTGGATGAAAATTTCTGGAGTTAAAT